CATTTTTTTTTTAAATACATGCATACGTACTGCTGAGGGGTAATTTATAATACAAAATTAACACAATATTAGCACTTGAATTATATTATTTATGTAACGGCTTTTTTTTAGTTTATGTGAAGTACAGGTTTTTATGGAAGGTACATGCACACTTGGCGCCTTTTTCTTATCTTTTTTTAAAAAGATAATTTTGTTAAGATATTATTTTAAACGTTAAACAAGAATTGTACGTTTACGTTATTCTGTGTGAAATTAATAAACAATATTGCTCGTCGATGATGTATTTGAGTCGCAGCATAAAGAACTTGGATTTCGAAACGTGCTTACTCGCAATAATACATGGTATGCCAAGCCTAAGACATAGCAGATATATAAACATATCAATGTGTGTGATTCGAAGTTTGATTACGTAAATTTAAATCTTCCTACATGTCATTGTACGATTCATGGTTACTGATGGAACATAGAGCGAAGCTCATCCACATATAGATGTTGTGGAACATATATTACTTCAATGTCATAAAATTTAATTATGATATCTATATTAAAGTAAAATCGCACACACATAGAGGCAAAATTACAATAACTCTTGATGCAAAAATAATAATTTTCAATGATAACTTGGATATGTTGATGAAAAATGTGAAATAGTGAGCACTAATTAGAGAGACTTATGGCGATATTACTGATTCAGTCAGTTGGCTCACTACATACGCTGAGGATTCAGTGGAATGCGAAGCTTCTGAAAATTTGTACTGGGGCTCACTATTTAAAAAAAGAGACTTATGATACATAAGTCTTACTACATAAGTCGCTCTGTGGATCGCTCCTACTACATAGAGCAGATTGCTTCTACCGTATCGGAGTACACTACCCTTGAAAACGTCTCACGCTATGAACGAAAGACGTTCCAATTCGACAGGATGAGGCGATTAAGGTCGCTTGAAGGTCATGGTATTATAGGCCTTTGGATTCGTCTGGGCCTCAGCTATTACGCTATAATGATAAAAATATGTTGTCGTATTTAAAAAAAATATCGATGACCTTGAAGGTTCTCAAAATATGACCTTGAGAAAGAAATGTAATGTACGTCCCTTCGAACCAAACAATTTCTTCCTTAGGCATTTTCGCTAAGGGTAACGGAGATATTGCCTTGTAACAGAGGTACTGGGACACCCTGTAACAGAAATTTTGCTTTTTTTGTGAAATTACAGTACGCCTCACAGGAGAAGAATGGTGAGAGGTTCATGACTGCGTCGGACTTTGTACGCAGTTATCTTGGCCTTTACACGGATGCCGATTATAATCCCGATTCTGTCAGTTTACTTGCTGGTATCGTCGATACTAGCAAAGATGGGTAAGTTGTACATCGTATTTAAGAAAGATATCATTATTTTACAATCGTGGATACAGAGGTTGTTACACAGAAGTGTAATGTCTTTATTTCTGTGTAAAGCTAATCCCACTTTTCAAAATTTGGAAAAAATGAATAGAGTTCTTATTGCCCTCCGATTTATGTATAATTCTCTATCAATTTTAGAAATAGTTTTGTCGATTAACGCGATGAAAACACCAATTTGGAGTAAGGGGTTAACCAATTTCATCATTTGAAAGGTTATAATTCCTTTATCTTTCACTTAACGTCTTGACACATATAGAACAATCGATAGAATTTTATGGGTGGGGGGTTACCAGAATCTCAAGAAAATATCGGATTTCCGAAGAAATTAAAAAAAAATTTTGTTTTTTAGATTTTTGGCATTCTCTTATGAATTGTGATAGCCCCTCAAAGAGTTCTAATGATTATCTTTAATGATCTTAATAATCGAAGAGCAAACACAAAAATTTAGCGTCTTGAATTTGAAAAATTCGAAATCCATGATAGTGATGAATTTTGATACGAGACATCTCGTATCTCGCCTCTACTGTTCTCGTGTCGTTTACCGACAAATTTTTACGAGACCACTGACTATCATTTGTTTTTTCACGTTTCGATCTCTGTGAAGCTGGCACCACAAAGTCAAAATTTCGATATATTTAATAGAGTTCTGGCCCTTCTCCGAAGAGTTTGAGAGTTCCTGATAGGTTTTGGAAAGAGTTCTGATGATTAAATGCAAAAAATGTGATTTTACAGTTTGGGATGCCAACTTCACATTTTTGAGAAACGAAAATTAGATGTAACTTTTTTATTTCAAGACAGATCGAAAAAAGTCATTATACTATTTGATAGAACTCTTGTATCGCTAACCAGAGCTCTAAAGAAAATAATAAAAAACATTTTTTTTATTATGGAAAATTTTTTTTAATTCGGTTTTTCAATTTGAAGAATAACGATAACTCTTTCAATTTTGGTTCTAGCGCCTCAATTATTAAAGATAATTCTTAGAACTTTTGTAGAGGTATCCACACTGAGAGAAAAATGTTTGGTATTTGTAACTATAATTACATATCACTATAATTATGATTATTACTGCTATAATAATAGTAACAGTAACTATGTATATAGTTCTACCAACTTTAGGTTGCCAACTATATACATTTGTTGGTAGAACTATATACATAGTTACTGTTACTATTATTATAGCAGTAATAATCATAATTATAGTGATATGTAATTATAGTTACAAATACCAAACATTTTTCTCTCAGTGCAGAACTCTCAATAAAATACCGGATTTCGAAAAAAAATTTCTGATTCGTGTGAACTTGGAAAAATTCAAAAGTTGAAACTCCAAAGTTCTAGAACTTTTTAGATATAAAAACGTTGAAACTAATACCTGAAAAGTTTTAGAACTTTGGAGTTTCAACTTTAGAATTTTTCCAAGTCCACACCGGTCAGAAATTTTTTTTCGAAAAATCCGGTATTTTATTGCGAGTTCTGGGCAGCTCTACAAGAGTTCTAACGATTATCTTCAATAATTGAGGCGCTAGAACTAAAATTGGAAGAGTTATCGTTATTTTTCACGTTGAAAAACCGAATTTTTTTAAATTTTTCATTAAAAAAATGTTTTTTATTATTTTCTTTAGAGTTCTGGTTAGCGATACAAGAGTTTTATCAAATAGTAGTGACTTTTTTCGCTGTCTTGAATTAAAAAAGTTATATCTAATTTTCGTTTTTCAAAAATGTGAAGTTGGCACCTCAAACTTTCAAATCACGTTTTTTTGCATTTAATCATCAGAACTCTTTCCAAAACCTATCAGGAACTCTAGAACTCTTTGGGGAAGGGCCTGAACTCTATTAAGTAAATCGAAATTTTGACTTTGGGGTGCCAGCTTCACAGAGGTCACGTATCGATATCGAAAACCAGTCACCCAAAGCTATCCAAACATGCTTGATTTACGCAATTGTCCAGGAGCTGCTTTTTTTACTAATTAAGGATCTATTAATTAAATGTGTAAACATTTTAAGCATTTATTTTAACAAATATAACATCCATTAAACATTTATTTAACATTTTTGAACATTTATTTATAACATTATGAACTTTAATTTATTTATAACATTTTAAACATTTATTTCAACGTTTATTTTTATAACAACAATAAAAATAAGAACAGCTACAAGCCAAGAAACATCATAAAGTAAGTAAAAGCTTACTTTATAATATCGGATCACAGAATAAATTGTAGCCATAATTTTGATTGGATCAATGTCAAAATTTTAGATAGTGAACCTTTTTACACAAAACGTTTAGTGTCAGAAATGGTTCACATAAAAATGCAAAAGAAAGGCTTAAACAGACAGAATGATACGGACAAGTTACCGGAGTCATACTCTCCTATCATACGATCTCTTTCTCCTTCATAGTTTCTTTTCTTTGTTCTATCCCCCCTACTGTGGGTTTTAACTCCGCGGCACATGGCTAAGCCGCTGTTCATTGTCTTTTTGTTGTCGTCTGTACGGTTCACATCTTTCCGCAAAGTGTGCTTGATGTCAATGTGCTTATTACTTACGGTATCTTCTTGATACATTCAATCGACTTATTTATAATTTTTTATTTCTGACCAAACCATGATATTATGTGACTAAGCATCCATTTTGAAGGTATTTTTATTTTTTGTTAAGATTTCTTAAAAATTTTATATGCCATTTACTTTCTGACGTTGCCGTTATATTGACTTTTTAGCTTTTCACGATTCACACTTTCATTAAAGTTTGTTTATTTGTTGCCACATTGTGAATTTATTTAGATAATAGGTTTTAATTTTTATCTCTTATTTTTATGCGTTCAGTACTTTATTACATTGCGAATTTTTAATATAACTGTTTTAATTGTTACATTCTGTACGTTGTTTTGTGTTTTGGTTAGAATTTCTTTACGCATTAGGAGG